TACCACCAGCAAAAATATTTCTGATTTAGTAAGTTGTTACATGTCTTCAAATCAAAGCTTTCCAGTTAGGAAAATTGGAGTCGACTAGATCACAATTAGAGTCATTAGTAAATTTAAACTTTTCCATTTTTTAAAAGGACAGTTTTTTAACACAAGCAAGTGAGACTCTGTCTTTGAGACAAGCAGTCATTTCCTGATTCCCATCCCTCACCAAAATGCACCTCACAGATGTCTTAAGGTCTTTATTCAAAGAAGATGCTCCCGGATGAGAACTGAGTGCTGGCGCTGGGCTCGTGCCTTGTCTTCCTGGCTTTCTTCTTCCCTTAATGTCAGAAGCACACGAGCCACGATGCTGCTTTCTCAGCAAAACGTGAGCCTGTTGTCACTTTCGGATGCAGTTTTCCAAGAGAAGCAAAGCTGAACAACTTCTAGGGCGTTGGACTAAAGCTTCATCTTGTAAGAGTCCCTGAGACGTGGCAGTGTCTGAAGATAGCCCAAAGAACTTGCTCATGCTTTTTTATTCTTTTTTGTTCATTGCATAAACTGTCCAGTCGGTCATCAGCTCTGTGCATGAACATACCTCATTTTATGCAGGAGAAGTGTTCCTGAGAATTTCTAGAAAATGAAGTTTGTTGAGTCAGATTTGAAACCCAAAGCCTTTTCATTCTCTGAAGGGTCCTCTGGGTGAGAAGGGGCAGCTGTATAGACAAGCTGGGGTTTTCTTAAAATGGCATGACTTTTTAAAAAAGAGATCACAAAATTGTAGATAACATAAGAAGGCACTCTGAGAGTTGACGAGGTCATTGCTCCCAGACCGATTTCTCTCCTCTCTGCTAGGTAGGACCTTATCCTGATTTAAAAGGTACCTTTACAGCACAGCAGTGTATGAACTGTAAACAGCATGCTTGCAGGGAAAGCTTCTCAGGCATTTCTCTGTCTCCAGAAGCTCCATCTTCCAGGACAACGCGATGGGGAGGAGGGCATGGGTGCCCAGCAGCAAATGCTGCTGAGCCCACCTCCCAGAGGATGGCCAGCACAGGGTGGAGGGTGGGGGTTTTCCCCAGATCTCCGTGAACTGGGCTTCTCTTCTCTTCTCTCCTCTCCTCTCCTCTCCTCTCCTCTCTTCTCTTCTCCTACCAGCAGGGCCATGTGACAGCGCCCTTGGGGCTGGACTGGTGTCCTCCTAGTGTGTCTGTCCCTGGAGGACGCAGAGCCCAGCTCTCGTGCAGGTGGGCTTGCAGTGAGTCACTTGGACACTGAGAGTAATTCAGATCTTCAGATCCAAGAAACTCCCACTTTCCCACCTTTCACAGCTTCGTTTCCATTGAGTTCCCCATCTTCTGGACGAGGAGAAAATGCAGAACACCCAAAGGCCTTGTGCTAAGGAGCTCATGGGAGGCAGGGTGTGACCTTCAGCATTTGGGCCTCAACATTAATTAACTGTGACCTTGAGAAGATCCCTTGGGACCTCGCCCAAAGGAATGAGCAATTTGAGCTAGTCCTCATAGCCCAAATTTGTGTGTTCACTTTACAAATCCCCAGTCCCCGATGCACTTCCGGATAAATCTGACTTTCTCCAGGATCCATCTTACGTGACAACCCCCCCATCCCCCATTGGAATTGTTTCTTGCTTCATGTCTTTCTTGTCAGTGGGAAGCGTGGAAGTGTGTGCAGGGCAGTCAGGACACACAGGGCATCCTTCCCCTGTTCCCTGTCATCCTCTCCTGGTCACTGAGCCTTTGCATCAGTAATAGTCATGTGCTATAAATGCTCTCAAGCCTATCCCTGAAAACCCTTTCCCTAATACGCCAAACAGCTCCATCTAGCAGGATTCCTTGATGGTTTTTGAGCTAGGAACTCCAGTGGGCCCCCTAGGGCAGTGTTTTTAAACTGTAGATCATGACCTATGAAAGGAGATGGCAACCCCCTCCCCCCCCCCCATTAGTTTAAAACAAACTAGAAGAGAAAATGCACAGTTCCCGGCCTTTTCCCACTATTCATAGCACAGGAAGTCTTCCATGATACCGTTATTTCAAAAAGAGAAAATAATTTTGTTTGTTGAAAGAGAGCAGTACGTTATTAAGAACTCAGCATGTCTTGTGCTTGAAGTCAAGGTCAACAAGCTCTCTTGGGATATAAAGGAAGACTTACTTTCATTTTATTTACTGTTTTTTTGGTGTACCTTTTATTTACTTATTTTTGTTTTTGCTGTGTTGGATCTTTGCTGGACTCTTCTCTAGTAGCATCGATGGTGGGTTGGCAGGGTCCTACTCTCTAGTTGCAGTGCTCAGGCCTCTCATGGCAGACTTCTCTTGTTTCAGAGGATGGCCTCTAGAGCATCTGGGCTTCAGTATTTGTGGTTCCCAGGCTCTAGAGCTTGGGCTCAATAATTGTGGTGCACGGGCCTAGTTGCTCCACAGTGTGTGGATCCTCAGGGATTAGGGATCGAACCCACGTCTCCTACATTGGCAGGCGGATTCTTTACCGTGGAGCCAGCAAGGAAGCCTTAATTGATCAACTTTTGCATTTCCTACTTCTGTTGGTATGTAAAAGTTAAGAGATGTAATTTTAATAAATAGCAGTATTTTTATTATAAGATAGTACTTCTTAAATTGTTTTGAGGCCAGTTTGCTACTCTCATCACTGGTGGTTGACTCCAGGGGAGATGCCTTACTCTGAGCTCTGAAAAGTGTGCCCTCAGCGCTGTCAGAGGAAGGGAAGTGCGGCCCTCATCCAGGTTTGCCAGCTCTGGCTACAAGGCACAGGGGCGCAAACACCAGTGCCTCCACGTGGCGACCCCCTGTGTGGCGCCTAATTCTGTGGTTCAGCTGTCGGCAGCTCTGTCAGGCTTGGCCCCCACCCCCTGGGCGCATGTGGTGGGCGTAGTCAGCCTCCAGGGTAGCTGGGATGAGCCAGTGGTCTCAGGTGATGGGCAGTGGCCCATCTCAGCTTAGGGGGCCCTGAGTTCCAGGTCACCAAGGGTCCATCAGGGCTCCCAGAGATGGAGCAGAGGGACAGGGCCCCCAAGACTTTGGCTCTGAAGCGATATAACATTCTCTGAAGGTTAAAGCGGCTGCCAGGCCAGCTGAATCTCAGGGCTGGGACAGAGCCCGAAGCAGGGAGGCCTGGGTGTTGAAGGGGAACCCCCAAGTCCCAGGCCTGAGACAGGACTACAGAGCCTTATGTGGGGGGACCTAGGTGTAGGAGGGGAACCCCCGGATCCCAGGACTGAGACAGGACTGCAGAGCCAGGTGTGGGGGGTGCCTGGGTGTAGGAGGGGATCCCCTGGATCCCAGGGCTGGGACAGGACTGCAGAGCCCGGGATAAGTGGGGCCCGAGTATAGGAGCAGATCCCCCGATCCCAGGGCTGAGACAGGACTGCAGAGCCGGGGATGAGTGGGGCCTGAGTATAGGAGGGGATCCCCCGGTCCCAGGCCTGGGACAGGACTGCAGAGCCTGGTGCCCAGGGCCTGGGTGTAGCAGGGGATCCCTTGGGTCCCAGGCTGAGACAGGACTGCAGAGCCGGGGATGAGTGGGGCCTGAGTATAGGAGGGGATCCCCCGGTCCCAGGCCTGGGACAGGACTGCAGAGCCTGGTGCCCAGGGCCTGGGTGTAGCAGGGGATCCCTTGGGTCCCAGGCTGAGACAGGACTGCAGAGCCCGGTGCCCAGGGCCTGCGTGTAGGAGGAGCAGCCGCAACCATTCCTGCAAACAATCCATAGCACAGTCTCACGTGTTCCACATGATGTGCAATTAATCAGAGTGTCTGTGGAATCAGAAATACACTTTTCTTAACATTTACCAACACAGCCATCCTATGTCACTGATGCAACATGGACCATCATTCCATGTGATAATAGTTAATAGACTCCCAAAATGACACATGCATATTATGCATACATTGATTAACTAGGAAGCTGCTTTTTAGTGAAACTACTGGCAGTTGCTTACAACGCAGCGGTCGCCTTAAGTCACCAGGCAGTGCCCTGAGCATAGTTTGTGTCTTGTTGCAACCATAGATGGTCACGAGAGTGAAGTCTGGAGCCTGATCTGGTTCACATTCTGATTTTGCCGCTTATGAACCGCGTGACTTTGGGTAAATCAGTTAGCATCCCCGTGCTTCAGCTATCCTGTCTGTGAAACAGGCTAATCATAGCAAACGTAACTTGTGAGGTTGACATGAGGGTTAAATCTAAACTCATGTCTGTTCAGTGCTGGTACTGGCACCTGGTACTGGAGCAGGGCTTCTGTGACTGTGAACTGTTGTGATGGTTACCAGCATCGACCCTCACGACAACCCTGTGATGGATGATTTATGAGTCATGGTTCATACAAGACCCAGAAGGTACTTTCTCTTACTGTCTCCATCTTTAGGTAAGAGGTGGGCCAGAGTCACAAGGCACCATGTGGCAACACCCTCATTCGTGCCCAGTCTCTGGTCCCAGAGTCTGAGCTTCTCACCCTACAGAAGACAGCCATGCTGCATAACAGTAGCTTCCAGAGTAACTGTCTACAGTCAAACATCTCCCTGTTATATTCTCTTTTCCCCATTGTCAGCTTCTCAGAGAAGCTTGATGTCCCCAGTAAGGGCTTCGGATGAGCAGCTCTTTTGTTATTGAGAAGTTCCATGAGCATCAGCCAAACTAGGCAGGGCTGGCATCTCCCACGTCCCGAGCGTAGGGGCACACACTTTGCAAACCTCTGTGTCCTCGTCACAGGACCCTCACAAGGAGTACGTTATCCCTGCTTTATAGACAGAGAAGCCAAGCCTGATGAAGACAGAGCTTGGTCACAATCACCAAGCATCCATCTGACTCCAAAGCTTTGCCACCAGGTTGAATAGCTAAATTAAATGTCAATAGATTCCACTGTGAATACTTTGTAAAGTGACCCCATGATAACTGTTACCGAATTTGCTTGGGTTAGAAGGCAGAAGTCTGGCTTCTTGGGAGCCACCCTGTGGGTGCCCTCTGATGAGTGACTCGGTTCTCTTCCTTCCAGAGGAGATCTGCACCCTGGTTATCGCAGAGACGTTCCCCGAGGACGCTGGCATCTTCACATGCTCGGCCAGCAATGATTACGGCTCAGCAGCCAGCACTGCCCAGCTGGTGGTCACCTCAGGTATGCCAGGTCCCCACTGCAGAAAGGACTGCCCAGAGGACTGCCCAGCCTCCAGGAGTCATGCTAACAATCCATGCTTCATCACAAAACAGAAGGCTGGGGTGGGGGCGCTGGGAGGCGGGGGGAGTGGGCCGGGGGACACTGGGGAGGGGCTGGGGAGCCAGTGGGGATGGGCTGTGGGGGTGGGCTGTGGGACACAAGCGATGAAAGCACAGGGTGATGATAGTGTGGTGAGACAACACACGTAGGCCACTGCTTCGGGAGTGTGTTCTCTGTCCTAGGAACAATGAAGCTGGCTACCCATGTCCTCCCGCCTGCCGGCATGACATGAGCAGCAACCGGGGATGGGGAGGCACCAAAGCGAGTCAGTCAGTGTTTAACCCCGCTCAGTAGACCTACAGAAGCGGCAGAGATCATAGAAACCAGATTTCGCTGAGAACTGAGTCCTATGAGAAACTCAAGCAGTGCGTTTTACTGTTCAAACCAACCTCCAAGAACATCGGGGCATTTTTGTAAACTCAGAAACTTAGCACTTAGGGAAAGCGTGAAACCGTTCTTTTCCTCTGTTTCTTTGACCTTTAGTTAACTGTTTTCTGGGGCTTCCCTCATGGCACAGTGGATCCGCCTGCAATGCAGGAGACATGGGTTTAATCCCTGGGTGGGAAAGATTCCCTGGGAAAGGGAATAACAACCGACTCCAGTATTCTTGCCTAGAGAATTCCATGAACAGAGGATCCTGGTAGGCTATAGTCCATGGGGTCACAGGAGTCAAACATGAGTATTCTGCTATTATTAACTAGCTTTACTTGGGTTTTATGGCGTTATTTCTGTTGTTTATTTTACAACGGCTATAAAATACCTCTTTGACCAAGCCGGCACCTAGTACCACAGTCAGGAGGCAGTCCTCAGCTGGAGGTGGATTCAACGCTCTGCAAGTTTCAAAGGGATTTCTCTGGAAGCCGGCACGCTGGTTGGTAGGGGGCGGCAGAGACACAGACGAACCAGTTTAGGGCACTAGGAGGGATTCCTGATTCTTCATCTTCAGTAAGAAAAGAACTATAAAGTTCTCCTTCACAGGGCTCCGTTGGCAGGACTGAGGCCTCTGTTAACGGGAGGCTCCAGGGTTGTGATCCGAGCCACAGAGAGGGTCCAGAGTTTGATTTGGGGCTGAAGATGGTCCCAGCGAATGGCCTCAGCACAGGTGCAGTGCTCTGACCATGCAGCCAAAGCTCCAGCTCCACATTTGTGTGACCGAGATTAGCAAGTAGCATTCCAGTCTTTCTCAGGGATAAACCTACTCTCGGCCAAACCTGACCAAGAGCTGTTTTCAAGCTCTCTGCTCACCCCAGGGAGCATCTTCAGGACACTGCAGAAGCCCTGCTGGGCGCTGGGCGGGGCACAGGGTCCTGGGAAGACACACCGTTGTGTCAGGATGCTCTCCGTTACCCACTGAGAGCAATGAGCAGTGTTCTGCTCTGAGTCACAGCTGTAGCGGTCGCCTGAACGGGGAATAATTCCCTATGAGTCGTAAGACATTTCCCTCAGAGCCTCGCTTGGCTTTAGGACAGATGAGTGAAGGGGTGACTTCCCACTGCTCAGCACAGAGAACCTCTGTGGCCTGAGCTAACCTCAGCGAAGCACAGGTAGGGTGTTCTAGGCTGAAACAGAATAAGGATGAAGTGTCGCCTGTTGTTGGTGTTTGTGTGGTCTTTTTCTTTTTTAAATTTATTTAAAGTGAAGTCACTCAGACGCATCTGACCTTTGCGACCCTGTGGACCGTAGCCCACCAGGCTCCCCGGTCCATGGAATTTTCCAGGCTGGAGTACTGGAGTGGGTTGCCATTTCCTTCTCCAGGGGGATTTTCCCAACCCGGGGATTGAAGCTGGGCCTCCCGCATTGTGGGCAGACGCTTTACCGTCTGAGCCACCAGGGAAGCCCGAATTTGTTTAAGTGGAGGGTAATTACTTTACAGCATTGTGGTGGTTTTCGCCATACATTACTGGTCATCTGCTTTCCATGTGATAATATACATGGTTCGACGCTGTTCTCTCGGATCATCCCACTCCCGCCTTCTCCCAGAGTCCAACAGTCTGCTCTTTACCTCTGTGTCTCTTTTGCTGCCCTGCATATAAGATCGTCCTGACCATAGTCTGCTGTCATTTTTTTTAGCTCTTGTTTGAAGTTTGTTAATAGTCTGGTACCTGGGGTGCACTTGTGAGCCCCCTGGGAGATGAGTCCAGCCTGGGGAACCGCCCGCCCCGCCCTGCCGGCACGGCCCCGCAGCAGCCCCAGGCCCGGGCTCCAGGCTGTGGGTGCGGGGGGAAGGGGCTGCGGCCGGCCGTCTTACCGAGTCCCCCCTCACCTCCCTCAGCCAGCACAGACGCCTGCGGCTACGACTCGGCAGGAGAGTCCGGCAGTGGCCACTTCCCGCCGCCGTCCCCGCTCTGGGAGCCGAACCCCTTCGAGCTGGCGCCACAGAAGCCGGCGGAGGCCCCTCCCGTGAGCGGCCCCGAGTCGGGGCTGAGCTCTGCCGCCGACAGGGAAGCCGCCGGCGTGCACCGCGCACGCGGAGTGAACGGGCTGGTGAACGGCCGAGCCGACGGCGGCACCGCTCTCCCCAGCCCGTCCGCCCTGCTGTCCCCCACGAAGGAGCCGCCGCCTCTGCTCGCCAAGCCCAAGCTGTGAGTACCCCTGCCGCGTCCACCGTCCGGCCTCTGCCAGGGGCCTGGGGTCCAGGCCTCCCCCGGGCAAGTCCTCCTGCAGGCAGGCGTCCCGGCTGGTGTGACCTTGCTACTCAATGGGGCCCCTCACATGTAAAAAACACCCCAAAGCAGAGAAGCAAGTGAGAGGCTTGGTTCAACCTGCCTTTTGCTAAAAACCATAGCTGGTTTCAGCTGCGAAGGTGTCCTGCCCGGGGGCAGAGGTCTCTTCAGAGGGTGGGGAATGGCCTGCTCAGAGCTGGCCTGTGAAAATCCCTGCCACTGTCTTAAGTGGAGGAGCTGGTGAGGAAACCTGACTAAGTCCGGAGCCTGCAGCTAAAGATGGAGGTTCCAGGTGTGGCAGGCTGCCAGAGGGGTGGAGGAAGAGCGCCTCCCGCAGCCCAAGCCGCTGGGGGTGCAGGGCTCCACGAAAGGCGTGCTCCCACCCACACCACCTTCCTACGTGGTTCCCACTGTTACAAAAGGGTGGTCGCGCTTGTATGCCCGGGGTGTGCTGGCACCACCGGGGAGGGTGGTGGTGAACCCGTTAGAGAGTGAGTTAAAGGATCCTTCTGAGCAGAGCAGAGCAGAGTCCCTGCCCTGACGGAGGTCGGCGGGAACGTCAGAGTCCTATCACTGAGGCTGTGCATCCACGAGGGTGGACCCTGCAGGGCCTGTGCTCCCCTCGCTGTCTGGGGGAGGGGTGTGCTGTGGGGCAGGAAGGCGGCCTCAGGACAGGAGTGACTGCTTCCTCCCCCTGCCTGTGGCTCCTTGTGGGAACAGGCCAGTATTCAGATTAGGATGGCATCTTACGTTCGTTCATCACTTTATTGTTTTGGGGGCAGTTTCATGGGCATTATTAGACCACTTAAAGAACAAGTCAGCCAGACTAGTACCTGAGTCAACAGATGGGAAAGGAAACTTCTGCACTGCCCTGGATCGCAGCTTCAGAACTTGCTTTTATTATGTTTTGCAATGAACACCTCAGGCTTCCTCCTGTATCTGCTGGGCTCGTTTTGTGGGCGGTGGGCTGCTCAGGTGTGTACAGTAGCATGTTCCTCACCTAGACGAAGCCCCCCTGAAATGCTGGACAGGTCTCAGCAACTCAGAGAGGCCATCTGAAAAGAGGTTTATGCCCCTGTAGCTCCAGCCCACTGAATTAGTTGCCTCTGCTGTCTGCTTTTATCTTTGCATCGTGAGTGTGTATTTGCAGTGCTTTTGATGAGGCAAGGGACCAGCCCTCCTGGGGTAGGGAGGGCAGATGTCCACTGACAGCACCTGCTGGCTCTTGAGTGTAAATCACCGGAGAGCGAACAGGAGGGGCTGCTCACAGGCCTCGCAGCCTCCGTATCTCAGGGGTTTCAGCAGCTCTTCAGCTCTAACTTGACTGTGTGCGAGGTGTCTATAAAAGCTGGACAGAACACTTCTGTGGTTGTTAAGAGCTACTTGAATGGCTCGGGCACAAGTTTGCAGACTGACATCATGATCTGCTTACTAGTCAGGTGTTCAGTTAAAGTCAAGTCCAGGGAAGGTGGAGTTCAGTGTCTAAATTCCCTTCGTGAGGAAATTGAGGGAAACTTGGCAGCTTAGAAGTCACGTGCTGGTGGCAGGGTTTCGTCCTGCTTTCTGTTTTCAAATCTGTGTGTCTTTAAGTATATCCTTAGAGCATCCCTTCATGATGTCCGTGTTGTATGAGTACCTTCCAGTTACTCCGGAGGAAATAGTATGTGATTGATCCTTCCAACATATATATCAATTTTTAAATTTTCTTAGGAATTGTAGCACTTTTTTGGATTTTGTTTTCATCACAAAGCGAGTGCATGCTTGAAGAGGCAGGTCAAACAATACCGAAGTGGTTGAGGGAACCAGTGCCAAGGTCTGGTATGAGGCCTTCCACCGCTTTCTCTGTTATTGTGGTCTTTTCTGAGAAGGTTGGCTTGTCGTTTTAAAGTTTGTATCCGTTGATAGGAATGCCATTGAATGACATCTATAGATAATGTGGAATGATGTCCAGGGTGTCAATGATTAATGTAACCACTAAGTAAAATTCTTATAATAACTAAAATTCTTATAGATGTCTTTTTCTTTTCATACTTTGGGAAAAAATGAAACTTTGCATCTTATGATTAGCAGTGGAAAAACTGGTCCACTCGAATCTTTTTTCATCAACCCCTGATTTTACTTCTTTTCATAGAAAAGGAGAGGCTTATATTTGGGGAGTGGGTAGGGAACTTTATGGCATACCATTCATCTGAATCATTTGTAAGCAAACAGGAAACAATTAGGAGGGACTAAAAATAATAGGAATTTAAATATTTACTCTTGTTAAGTGAATCTGAAAAAGTATTTGGTTTGTTAGATTCCTGAAAAAGTGTCATTGTCAGAAGGAAAATCTCTTTGTATTTTTCCTCTCAAATAGCTCAGTAGCAATCATAGGAGGGGAAAAGAAAGACTAAAATGAAAAGGTGGGAATGTCCTGAATTCCTTTCTGCAGCAAGGTTCTGGAACAGAAACCCCCAGCATGGGTCTTGCCGCCCTCCCAGCCCCTGGCTGTCTGCCTCTGCCCTGAGGGAGACCCCAGCCCAGGGTTGTGGGTTCCCACGTTCACCCCCAAGGCGGTGTCCTTGGCTCAGACTCTGCCCCTCCAGTGTGAATTCACTGGGGTTGAGCGAAGCGGTTCAGTGAGTTCCAGGTGCTCACACAGCACACCGCAGACCAGCGGGCACATTCACTCCACCCAGGGAGAGAGTCCGAGAGTCTCTGTGTCTGACACCCAGCATCGTCCCTCGCAGTGCACGGGAGAGAAGTCAAGTGCGGCTGAAATCATAGTGCTTATCAGAGCGAAAGAGGAGGGAAGGAAGGTAAACCAACTTGTGAGCTACTTGTCATGTTCTTGTCCTTGTTCAGAGCCCACTAAGTAAGTCTACAAATGCTACCTGAAGAGGCAAAATAAATACACCACTCAGTTTGTTAATAGGAAACAAAATCCCATCTCTTTATTCTTGCCAAAAAGCAGTCCCTGAAAGACACAGGTGTGTGGCGTCTCCAGGGACAAACCTGGAGGGACCTCGGGGCCTCACTGAGCAGGGGGCATGTGGAGAACACGGAGAAGCTGGTCCCGTCCTCTCACCAAGCGCATCTCCTGCACCAGGCCCAGAGGCGTGGAAAGAGCGGACGGTGCTTTGAGACTCCGTCTCTTCCTCCTCCTTTGATGTTCTTCCTCTGTGTGTGGAAGGAGCCGATGAGGCGTCTGAGAGGAGACGAGAGGAGGGGAAGCCGGGGCACGTCCCCGTGCTGGACGCAGGCCCGCTCAGCGGGGAGACAGCGCGGGTCCTCCGCCCCTCAGAGCCCCCTCTGTGTCTGAGGATGGAGGCGTGACCCTGAGGTGCTCCCTGCTCCGTCACCTGCCCGAGGTGTGGATGGAGCTTCCTCTGCTTGCTTCTCCCTGCCGTCTCCTCCCCTGGCCGCTGGAGGAAGCAGTGTCAGGATTCCTACCTGAAAGGGCCGAATGGCTGCTCAGACCGGCTGCTCCTCGGGATCCTTGCATCTTCCTTCCTCCTTGCTCTCGCTCCCCCCGTGAGCGCCCCGGTTCTTCCTGCAGCGCTTGTCTCAGAGCGGGACAGGCCCTACAGAGGCACTGCTGCCTCCACGTCGCCTGGCCCAGTTCTGGGCTGACATCTGCATGATGAGGAGCAGTGGTGAGAGCAGACAGGAGGAGGAGGGGCAGCCTGGGCCCCTCTCATCAGAGGGTCAGCTGAGCCGGGCCTGCCCTGCCTGAAGCTCCCCATGGTCCCCACCCCGCTCCTAGACATGAAACCGGGGCATGGGGCTCCCTCGCCTGGTCCACTCCCTGACATGTCCTCGGGCTGCGGACGGCTAGCCGTCCCTTTCTTCCCTGTTACCACCTGCCCTGCTGTGTCCCCAGCTGTCCCCGTAAACCACTCTCTGCTGTCCCCACAGCACGGAGCTGCTTCTGATCTCTGCTCACTTGCCTGCAGGCTGGTTTGGGTGATGTTTCTCCCACGGTGATGCTTCTTACCGTGGAAGACCTCACTGTCTTCTCACTGCGTTTTGCTGGGTCCTCGGTCAGGACCTGACAAAGCGTAAACACGCAGAAATATTTTGAATGAATGAAACAAGAACAGACCCACAAAGAGAAAGAAGTCTTTTCTGTTTAGAGTGACCTCATTTGTCAGGCTTGCTTCTGACCCATGTACACTATAGGGCTTTCACTCTCTGTCCCCACCAACCACAGAGGTTTCTCACTTGACGGTACTTCCCACTGACCTGCTTGTCCTAGAAGCTGAGTGAATATGAAGGATCAAATCAAAACCCCACTGATGGAGTTACAGTAGAGAAGGACATCCAGGGTACTTGATTTGGGAGCCTTTCCACTTCCTCATTTCTTCTGTGTCCCCTTTTATGAATATCTTACTTTACGATGCTGTGGATACCGTGAGGTGTATGGGGAAGCGAGGGACCCTTGCACCCTGCTGCCTGCTGGCCGGAGGACAGGCACCCTGCTGCTTCAAGGTGTGTGTCCTTGACGGGTCAACACCGTCTGACGCAGATGTCTGCTTACCTTCCAAGGGCGGCCGGCTGCTGCTCCCCATCCTGTATACGGGGGACGCGGCCCAGGCCCCAGGTACAGCCCCGTCAGCACACTGGAAGTTTTCCTTCCTTTCACCTTTGCTGGCTGGGGTTCAGGAGCTCACTCTTGCATTCTGTCACTTTGCCTGTTTGGCTTTAGAACACAAATGGTCTCCTAGGTTAAGCCTTGCCTGCTAGATCTGAACACACACAACAACCGGAAGATAAGGAAAGCAGTTGGGGGCAAAGTAAGGAACAAAGGTCACATCACACCCTCTCCCAGCAG